AACCATTTATAAAGTGTTGTCATTCATGAACAGAACATGTGATAAAATTGCAAAGAACTTACTACACACCACACACAAACCCACCCACCCACATGCGTGCGTGTACACATATGCATACCCACAGACACACAAATGAGTACAAGTAAAACTCAAGAAACCTGAATAAGATCAGTAGATTGTATCAATGTCAATATCCTGGTTGTGATAGTGTACCGTTATTTTGAAAGATGTTACCACTAGGGGAACCTGGGTAGGGGGTACACTGGATCTCTCTGTATTATTTCTTATAGCTGCATGAGAATCTACAATTATCTTGAAATAAAAAGTTTTATTAAAAGAATGTTGCCAAAGCTCTTTCCAAAATTCACCTTATAGTGATTTCAGGCAGCAGACTGTCATGTCTTTTGCAAATGGGCAAGTCTGGGGCCTCGACTGGTGATGAGCTGCCCCTCCCTGGTGATGAGCTGGTGATGCTATAAGAGCAGATCAAGGAAGACACCTTGGAAGGTCCCTAGCACTCAGAGTACCTACTATATGCTTGGCATTGCCTTGTCATCTTCACAACAATCTGCAAAGTACATGCTGATGCGCCCCCTTAGAGATGAGGAAGCTGAAGATGACGTGCCTTACCCAGCAAAGGATGGAATTCAGATTCCAATTCAAGGCTCTATGCCCAAAGCCAAAATAAAGACCAACTCCAAGCCTCATCCTCACACTGCCCTCCTGTCTTCATCCATTCACAGAACTGCTTAAATGTTAGTGTGCCTAGGAGTCATCTGGGGACTGGGTTATAATGCAGGCTCTAGTTCTGAGGTTCCGCATGTCTTGTAAGCTCCCAGACACTACTGAGGCCACCACACTTTGAGCACTAAGGCCCCATCCCACCATCCAGAATCAAAGATGGTCAACATTTTCTTTTTCTTTTTCTTTTTTTTTTTTTGAGGCAGGATCTCACTCTGTCACTCAGGATGGAGTACAATGGCAAGATAACAGCTCACTGCAGCCTCGACCTCCTAGGTTCAAGTGATCCTCCCACCTCAGCCTCCCAAGAAGCTGGGACTACAGGCATACACCACCACACCTGGCTAATGTTTTTTTTGTTTTTTTGTAAAGGTGGAGTCTCCCTATGTTGCCCAGGCTGGTCTTGAACTCCTGGGCTCAAGTGATCCTCCCACCTTGAGCTCCCAAATTGCTAGGATTATAGGGGTGAGCCACCATGCCTGTCCTTATTTTTTATTTCTTTAGGTTTTGAGTTCACAAGAAAACATTTCAACAGAGTGTAGATTTTAATCCATTTTTCGTCATAATTCTTGTCATTTTACTGTGTTAAATGTAAATTTTCCTCTTTTCTGAAATTAACAGAGCTCATACTCCGTGGGATTTCAGTTTAATGAGAAAAGTGTCAATTACATAATTAACAGTGATGGCATAACTGCCTATCTGGCTGGAAGAAAATAAAATTAGATATCTACCCAGTTTATTAAAAATGAATTTCAAGTCTGGGCCACATAGTGAGATCCTGCCTCTGCAAAAAATAAAAGAAAATTAGCCAAGCGGGATGGTGTGTGCCTACAGTCCCAGCTACTCAGGAGGCTGAGGTGGGAGGATTGTTTGTACCCAGGAGTTCAAGGCTGCAGTGAGCTATGATCCCACTACTGCACCCCAGCTTGGGAAACCAAGCAAGACCCTGCCTCCAAAAAAAAAAAAAAAAAAATCATATTGCAATCCAATGAACATGAATTCTAGGTGGGTTAAAATGATTGGTGACATTGAGGGTCTTATATTTGTCCCAGCATCTCTGACGTCAGAATTGGCCTCTGCCTCTGCACACTTGCATCTGAAAAGTCTTTGCAGGGCTGTGATCTCCTCACTGTGTGTACCTATCTGGATTGCTTTGTTCTCCCAGCCCTGGGCCAACCTCCCTTCTCCATGTCACCAGGAAGGCTCCAGAATGTCAGTTTTGGGGGCTGTTCAAGTAAGGTTGACTTAATTGCTCTCCAGTGCTTGGCAGGTAAGAGACTTGCAGGTTTTGCTTGCTGTAAACAATGTTGTAATTAATACCCCTGTACATTTGCTTTTTCTGTATTTGGATTCTTTTTCTGTATTTCTGTATTCTGTATTTTTCTGTATTTTGGATTCCTATACGTGGGATTCCTGGGTCAGAGTTCCAAAAACTTTTAGTATAAATAAATTAGGCAAATAATCACCAAAGTGTTTTTCCAAAAGGAAAACAGTGTTTTTTCCTTTTAATTTTTTTAGGAAAAATATTAAATTTTTCTCAAACAAAATATGAGATAATGTAATACAATGTAAAATAATAAATGTGTTTTTTTTTTCTCTTTGGGCTTTCTTCGATCTAGGTTTAGGAAATCCTCTCTTACCCAGAAGTTTGATAACAATTTGACTGTGATAGCTTCTGTGGTTGATTTTTAGAAAGACGTTTAGCCTTTATTTTGGTGTTTGGTGTGAGACGAGGGTCTGAGTAGCTGCTTGCAACTCACCAGAGAAAACACAGTCTCATTTACACTGGCAAGTTCCCTTTTTGGACTCATTTCTTCACCCCACAGAGCCAGGCAGGAAGAGAAGCGGCGAGGTATCAGGGAGTGTGGAATGCTGAGATGGTAGTTTCCCTAATCTTGAAAAGGAGCTTGATTCTTTTCTTATCTGTCTGACTTTTCAAGTGGTCTTATTTTCCTGATAGGCAGTTAGAAATTTGCTCCTTTGCTTACTATTGCAACAGAAGTCCTCTTGAATGGAAATTTCCTTGCTCTGTTAAAAAAAAACCCACTGTATAGAAAGGTGTCTAAGATAAGGCACACATTCTTAAAAGGGCCTAAAGCTTAGCCCTCTCATGAACAAAGTGTTGTCACATTGATGAAAGCAAACCTTAGGATAGTGGTTGTCAACTGGGGACAGTTTTGCTTCCCAGGGGACATTTGACAATGTCTGGGGACATTTTTGGTGGTTGTAACTTCGGAGTGTACTGGCTTCTAGGCGGTAGAGGCCAGGGATGCTGCTAAAAATCCTATGACACAGTTTCACACCCCCACCCCAACAAGGAATTATCTGGTCTGAAGAGTCAATAGCACTGAGGTTAAGAAACTCGTTCTTAGAATATATCTGTAAGAGGCTTCACTTTGAGAAGATTGCCCGAGTGCTGTTAGGACTCTTGGCTAGGCCAGAGTCATGAGGCATGTAGGGATGGAGAAGGCCTGAGTGGTGGAGAAGCAGGTGGAAGCCTGAGGGTAGAGACTCTGATTGCCAAGGGGGAGTTTGGACTCATTCCTCTGGCAGCAGGAGGCACTGGAGGCCTTGCATTAGGAGGGGCATCCTCTATCCATCCAAGGACATCCAATTGCAGCAGGATGTGTAGTTCTGGGAAGGATGGTCTCTTCCCACCCTATACAGACTCCCTAGATGCCCACGTCCTGCTGCAGGGGCTCTGTGTAATCCCTGAATAGTACATGCATGTCTACAGTTCAACTCCTTAAGTGTTAATGCTGGGCATCTTCCATGCGCCTCTCCATTCTGCTCTCCATCCTCTCCTCCCCAGGCTACTTCAAGTGCCAGGAAGCTGACATGTGGACTGCAGTCACCACTCCCTTCCCTCTAAATTTGGCAGGATATTGGAGGGAGGTAGGAGAAGGAGGTCTGGGTATTTATTCTTTAGCTACTCTATTAGTCCGTTTTCATACTGCTAATAAAGACATACCCAAGACTGGGTAATTTATGCAGGAAAGCGATTTAATGGACTCACTGTTCCACATGGCCGGGGAGGCCTCACAATCATGGCTGAAGACAAGGAGGAGCAAGTCGTGTCTTACATGGATGTCAGCAGGCAAAAAGAGAGCTTGTGTGGGGAAAGTCTCCCTTATAAAACCATCAGATTTCATGAGACTTATTCACTATCATGAGAACAGCATGGGAAAGACCTGTCCCCATGGTTCAATTACCTCCCACTGGGTCCCTCCTATAACACGTGGGAATTGTGGGAGCTATAATTCAAGACGAGATCTGGGTGGGGACACAGCCAAACCATATCAGCTCCTGTGCTGTTGGCTGCTGCAGGAGGCCCTCTCTGCACAGCTCTGTCTCAGTCTCACTGGGATGATGGCTCCTCCATGCTGCTAGCCCTCAGGTTCTGTGATGTTGCTTTCTATGAGTCAACTTGGCTAGGCCATGGTGCCCAAATAGGTAGTCAGTCATGATCCTGGCTGTTTGTGTGAGGGTGTTTTTGGATGAGATTCACATTTAAATCTGTGGACTTTGAGTAAAGCAGATTGTCCTCCATAATGTGGGTGGGCTTCATCCAACCAGCTGATGGCCCAAGTAGAACAAAAGACTGGCCTTCCCAGAGCAAGAGGGAATTCTGGCAGCAGCTGGTCTTTGGACTTGAACTGCAACATTGGCTTTTCCTGGTTCCACCCTTCAGAGTCTGGACTTACCGGCCTCCACAATTACACGAGCCAATTCCTTACAATAGATCTGGTTCTCTCAGTGTACACATCCTAGGTTCTGTTTCTGTGGAGAACCCTGACTAATAGAGGTACCATATGTCTTCCTTCCACCCTGCCCACAACTTAGTACCGTGCCTTTATTGTACACTCCTCCAATTATGTAACGCAAGCCCTGCAGTTTCCCGCCAGCTCTGTATGCCTTCTGCAGGCCAGCATGATGGCTGCAAGCCTCCCTGGAGGCTGCCCAGGCACCGGCCTCTTGGAAGCTAGGCCCTGACAACCGCTGGGTGTTCCCTGCCTCTGTGGTATCCCCTGTCTATTGGGCCCTGTGAATTCAGAATTGTTTGTTGACTTAAAGCCAAAACAAGGTATTCCTATCCTTCCCACTTTCAGGGTAAGAGGTCTGAACCTCCAGTGTAGCAGATTCATTTCTGTCTGGTTTGTGGCCAAGTCAGAGCCATTTCCTAATGCCAAAAACAGAGACTGAACTTTTCTCTGTCTGTGGGAGATTTTACAACCCAGTCCTATTTCAAAGAGAAGACTGAGGCCAGGAGTGTCTTATCTGGAGTTGCCTGGTGAGTCAGCAGCCAGGAAACCAGGACCCCTCTGACAGTTTATGCTTTATGACCAGGTGCCCTTGTTCTCATTCATGGAGATTGACGACAATTTCTGCTCTTCTCCCAGTGACCTGCACAGTGATGCCAAGTCAGCCATTCTGCTCTGCCTCCTGGGGTCTGAACTGTGTTCTCCAGCAGGGATGGGGGATGCATGAAGCTGCACCCACTGCCTGGCCTAGAGAGAGCCACTGGACCCCACTGACCACCAGGGGACAAGATGGGGATCTCACTGTGCACTCAGGCCACAACACCTGTGACTTAGGGGAGGGATTTTGGTCCTCACAGTTAGTGAAGTTGGCACACAGGTGGGGAAACATGGGTCTGACACCTGCTGGAGGCCACACAGCAGCATGTGGCTGGCAGGGCTGAGAGTTGCACCCAGGGCTGGGCACTATCAATTGCCTTTGACGGACATGGATTGGTCCCTAGAGGAAGCAGGGCCAGGGCAGCTGCAGCCCCAGCGGTCATAGCGCTGGGGTTGGGGAAACCTCGTGTGTGTCAGTGTGACTAGGAGGCGGTGAAGAATGCACTCCCTTCTGCATGCCTATAGGAGAAGCTCAAGGAGAGGCATACTTGGGAGGAGCCATGGGATGAAGCTGGAATGCTGGGGGTGGAGCCTGGAGAGCTTGGAGCCCTCATAAGACCTGACAGCCAGGAGAGGGCACATTTCAGGGACACCATGGAGAGTGGCTTCACTGGGGGTGATGAGTACCAGAAGCACTTCCTGCCCAGGGACTACTTGGCCACTTACTACAGCTTCGATGGCAGCCCCTCACCCGAGGCTGAGATACTGAAGTTTAACTTGGAATGTCTCCACAAGACCTTCGGCCCTGGTGAGCAGAGGGTGACCCTTCCCCTCGAGCCTCTCTCCAAGGAATCTGGATAGGGATGGGGATAAGGTGTCCTGGGGGCAGTCTGGTCTCCTCTAGGGGTTTTTAGGGGCGGGCTGGGGGAGCTGCTGGGGCCCTGCCCCTCTCTTTGGGCAGCTATTACACTGGAAGTTGGGTCTGTCTCCCCACGGCTCAGGAGCTGTGTGCCAGCTGAGGGATCAGGACCTGTGGGAAGAGCACAGCCCCGTGCAGTTCCCACACTGCTCTCCATTAGCCCCTAGGCCTTTGGGGTGGAGCAGAAAAGGCTCTCCAGGTCATCATCAAGTTCAGTCCTGACCTTACACAGCCAGGTCTCTGGGACCCCCAGAAGGCCAAGGGCAAACAGCGGAGTTGTAGTGGGTCGGGATCGCCTATGCCCGGAGTGTGCAGCCCAGATGTGTCTGTGATGAGGACCTGGAAAAGCCCTGCCCTGGGACAAGGATTGCTAGGTGGGGTCTCAACCCTGTTGCAAACCTGACAGCAAGGCGCTCAGGCCCCAAGGACCTCAACTGAGCCATCTGTGCAATTGATGGCGACTTCTGCCTGTCTCCCAATGATCATTGCCTTCCCCACGGTGACCCCATGATTTGGTCATGTCTTCTAAACTCAAGCAGCCATGTCCTCACTTTGGGCACTTGACTGCGGAACAATAAGGGTGAGTCTCCTGGTGGTCTAGGGGGTAAGAGGGGGTTAAAAGACTGCTGAGCCTGGAGGAGCAGGCTGGTGCGGGAGGCAGAAATCAGAGAATAGCTGGACTGGGTGTGACCAAGCTTGGAAGGCCAAGTGATGGCCCCACGCCAGGGCTCCAGACAGAATGTTGGAAGTCATGCTTTATTCCAGCTTCCAGGTGACCCTGGATTCACTCCTGGGGCCATCTTCCTAGATCGTCTCCTCAGCCCTGGCTTCCTATTCCTGCATGCTTACACCCCTCCCCACTCCAAGGAACAAGGAACCCATCCAGGAAGGGCTGGACTTCCAGGGGAGGCTCCCAGCTCCCAGTCAGCCTGAAACCTAAAGAGCCACTGCCCCCAGCATGTCCCCTCTGAACCCTCCAGCCCGAATCTTCCCCAGAGCAGGGCTTGGGCCTCTGCTCTCTGTCCCAGAAATATTATACTCTTGGCTTATGTTCTTGACGGAAAGATATTGGGCTAATTGTTTAACCTTTTTCAGACTCAGTTTTCTAATCTGTAAAATGAAAATAGTGATAGTAGTCAGTACGCAGGGTAGTTCTGAGGTGTAAGTGGAAATTAATGCATATAAAATATTTGGTATGAGGCTTGGCTTACAGGGAACCACCAATCTGTGATAACCACCATGCTTGGTGCTGTTTGCCCCTTGGGTAAGACCAGGGTGTGTGTCCTCATCCCTGTGTCTGCCTTGGGTCTCGTTTCTCTTACCCGTCCATTACCAGTCTTTCCCTCCCACAGGAGGCCTTCAAGGGGACACGCTGATCGACATTGGCTCAGGCCCTACCATCTACCAAGTTCTCGCTGCCTGTGAGTCCTTCCGAGACATCACTCTCTCCGACTTTACTGACCGCAACCGGGAGGAGCTGGAAAAGTGGCTGAAGAAGGAGCCGGGGGCCTATGACTGGACCCCGGTGGTGAAATTCGCCTGTGAGCTGGAAGGAAACAGGTAGCGGTGCAGAGGTTGTGGAGGGGGTTCCCAGTCAACCTTCTTTCTCAGAAGTCTCCCTGGCCTCTTGTTTGTCTCTGGCATTTTCAGGACAGTAGGACCTATAGGTACAGGACCAGATGTCCTGTGGTGGGGACAGAGTAGATGGGGCCCCAAGTTTCAGGATTACAGCAGTTTTAGGGGCAAGTATCTGATCACAGGACTACGTTGAGGTGTGATATAATCAAGTATGAACACTGAAAACCAGATGATAGATGATAGAACATTTCCTTCCTTCTTCTCTTCCTTCCTTACCCTCATCTATATATCTACCTATCTATCTTCTATGTATCTAACTATCCATCCATCCATCCACCCACCGGTCCATCCATCCATCCATCCATCCATCCATCCATATTCATGCATCCACCCACCCATCCATACTCAGCGATCCATCACCCATCCATTCATCCATCAGCAAGTCATTCACATCCATTCATCCATCAGCCTTCATTCACCCATCCATCCATCTATCCATCTGTCCATTCATCCATCCATCAATATTCATCATCCACTATCCATTCATCATCCATATCCATCAATCCATCCATCTATCCATCCATCTAATTATATCCATCCATCATCCACCCACTATTCATCCAGCTCACCCCCTCATTGTCCCTCCATGTTCATCCATCCACCCACCCATCCATCAAATCTTTCCTTCTTCCCTCTATTGTCTGTACCTGTGTGACTATATAATGCATAATGACCTCTATTGTCTGTACCTGTGTGACTATATAATGCATAATGACATGAACCCACCACCCAACCTGAGTACTCGGATATAATAAAGACTTCTGTGCTTCTCTGTGACTCCTTGCCCCTGCCTTTCCTAACCCGAGGTAATCACTAATACGAATTTTATGCTTATCATTCCCTTTTTCAAAACATTTTTTCTTGCATACTTATGTATATCTAAATAATCTATAATTTAGTTTTAGTCACCTTTGAGCTTTAGAGCAGAGTAATTTGCTCTGTGTCATTTGGGATTTGCTTTTCATCACTCAAAATTAATTTTTTAAGATAGCTATATTCATACATTATCTGTAGTAAATTCATTAATTCATCCATCCATCCATCCATCCAATAATGTGTGTTAGCTGCCCCATCTGTGCTCGGGGTGGCCTTGTCCCTCCTGGGGATTAAGGGAAGGGGGCTCACATGGAATCAGAGGGAGAAATGTTCCTATAATTTTTCTGGCCCATTCTCCCTAACCATTTTTCTTTGGGGGAAACTGAGGCTCAGATTGAATATGGGCCTGCTGTCAGGTCACACAGGGACTCAGGGATAGCAATCCTTTGGGGATCCAGAGATCATCTCCTTCTGCTGGTCACAGTGGACTGAGAGTTCCCTTCAGAACCTTGAAGTGCCTCCCTGACTCCCTCTCTCTCTCTGCAGCGGCCATTGGGAGGAGAAGGAGGAGAAGCTGCGGGCAGCAGTGAAGCGGGTGCTCAAGTGTGATGTCCACCTGGGCAACCCGCTGGCCCCTGCTGTGTTGCCCCCCGCCGACTGTGTGCTTACCCTGCTGGCCATGGAGTGTGCCTGCTGTAGCCTTGATGCCTACCGCACTGCACTGTGCAACCTTGCCTCACTGCTCAAGCCGTGTGGCCACCTGGTGACCACAGTCACGCTTCAGATCTCATCCTACATGGTGGGGAAGCGTGAATTTCCCTGCGTGGCCCTGGAGAAGGAGGAGGTGGAGCAGGCTGTCCTGGATGCTGGCTTTGACATTGAACAGCTCCTACAGAATCCCCAGAGCTACTCTGTCACCAATGCTGCCAGCTCTGGGGTCTGCTTCATTGTGGCTCGCAAGAAGCCTAGGCCCTGAGCCAGGAGGGCCAGCCAGAGGTCTGGTCAGGCTGTGAGGCCTTGGCCATCTGTATGCTAGAGAGGGGTGAGGAATGGATACTGTCTAACAGCCTCTGATTTCAATACTAACATTTCATCTTCTGAAACTCTGAGATTCTAACATCCTTGTTTTAGAATTCTAAGTTTCCAACATTCCTCATTCTAGGATCCTAGGAGTGGAATTTTCCATTTTCTAGTCTACTAAGCCTTACAACTGTCTTAGATGTGATCTGACTCCTGTGTGACTGTGGAGCACCCAGGGACATGGTTTCAGAGTCTACCTAATATGTTAAGAACAAGGAAACCTCTGGACAGTGGTATATTGGGGAATGTTTCATAACCAGCTCTGTAAAGGAAAAGCACCGATGTGTAGCAGTTACCAGTTTCTGTGGTGTAAATACTCCCACCATGGTGGATTTCAAGCCACCAGTGGTTTAATAACCAGTTCATAAATCTCCTAAACATGTTACAGTTGACTCTCATGAGCTGATTGGAGTCAGCTGGAACATACCACTGCCTCTAGACTAAGGTCAGCAGATTTGACAAATACAGACTGCCCCAGTTCACTGAATTTTAGATAAATGAAATAAATTTTTAAGGTTAAGTATGTCCCCAGAATTGCATGGAACATGCTTATCCTAAACAATGATTTGTTGTTCACCTGAAATTCAAATTTAGCTGGGTGTCCTGTATTTCATTTGGCAACTCTACTTCAGACCCAAGTGTAAGGTACATGGATGTGCTTTGGTCAAGGAATACGCCAAGGTAGATATCCATGCCTGCATGACTCAGCGGGTTTGGTGCACAGGCACACACCTCCACTTGTTATATAACCTGTTTGTGTAAGTTCATACTTCGTCTGAGCCACTGTTGTCTGTAAAAGGTAATTGTCCTGCTAATGCTGTACAGGGACTCTTGGGGTTCGGCTCAGCTCAACATGACTTGACATGGTGGGCACGCTGGCGCCCAGAGAAAGAGAGAGAGCCAAAGCTGTCCGTCTTGCAGATGGACAGGAAGGAGCTAGGACACAGTTCGGCTAGCTCATGCCCAGAGGGAGAAAGAGTTAAGCTGCTGACCCTGAAGGCAAGGGAGAGCAGGCTGCACAGCTGTGTGTGGGAGCCCTGGGCTCAAGCAGCCGAGACAGGGCGGACAGTGTGAGAGAGCTAGTGTGAGTAAGCTGTTGATGAGAGCTGTTGCTGAATAAAACCATATTCACCTGCCTATGGGCCCCGAGTGTTCTTTCTGTCCATGTACCCACTCCCCTCAGACTTCAGCATGGGCTGGACCTGGACCCCAGGACCTGACACCAAGTGAGAAGAGGAACAGCCCAGGGATCAAGGGTATTCCTCCTACATAAGGTGCTCCTGCAGATAGACACATTGCAGAAAGGAGTGTTCAGCTGATTAACTGAGAAAAGCTGTTCCATCTCCCTGTGGAAGGGCTGTGAGAACAAAGTGCCTCTTCTGGGCAGACCAATTAGAGAAAAGTGTCCCTTCCTTAAGGCTGATTGGGTCACACTACTGAGCACCTGTCAGCCTCCCTTTTTCCCTCAACCCCAATCTGTGCCTTTGGGTGGGTACACCCTGGGCACAGCAACCTTGGTAAGAGCCAGGAGACCTGGGATCTACTCTCAGCCCTGTCACTAATTGTTTCACTTCTCTGGGCCTCATATTCCTATCCATGAGATTTAATCTAACTACAGGAACATCCTAAGAACAGCAGGAAGTCATTGATGTGAAAGTGCTTTTTCTTTTCCTTTTTTTTTTTTTTTTTAGACAGAGTCTTGCTCTGTCCCCCAGGCTGGAGTGCAGTGGCGCGATCTCGGCTCACTGCAAGCTCCACCTCCCAGGTTCAGGTCATTCTCCTGCCTCAGCCTCCCAAGTAGCTGGGACTACAGGTGCCCGCCACCACGCCTGGCTAATTTTTTGTAGTTTTAGTAGAGACGGGGTTTCACCGTGTTAGCCAGGATGGTGAAAGTGTTTTTTTTAAGGTGTAGTTTCACTCTTGTTACTCAAGCTGGTGTGCAATGGTGCGATCTCAGCTCACTGCAAGCTCCACCTCCTGGGTTCAAGTGATTCTCCTCCCTCAGCCTCTTGAGTAGCTGGGATTACAGGCATGTACCACCATGCTCAGCAAATTTTTGTGCTTTAAAAAGTAAAAGGTTTTGCACAAATTGACCCATTGATGTTGTTCCCCGAGAGGGTCAGGACTGAGACAGTCTTTCAAAATTACCCAGGCTAATCTCCAGGTTTTTTGTTTGTTTGTTTGTTTTGAGACAGAGTCGCACTCTGTTGCCCAGGCTGGAGTGCAGTGGTGCAATCTCAGCTCACTGCAACTTCGGCCTCCCATGTTCAAGTGATTGTCTTGCTGTAGCCTCCCAAGTCGCTGGGACTACAGGCATGCACCAACACACTTGGCTAATTTTTTTATTTTTAGTACAGACAGGGTTTCACCATGTTGGTCAGGCTGGTCTTGAACCTCTGACCTCAAGTGATCCGTCCTCCTCAGCCTTCCAAAGTGCTGGGATTACAGGCATGAGCCACCACGCCCAGCCAAATCTCCATTTTTTATAGTCAGGGACAAAGAGGTCCCAAGAGGGAAAGCGACTTGTCCAGAGGCACACAGCAAGCTGGTGACAGAGCTGGAGTGAGAACTCAGGTGTTCTGACTCCTTGTTCACCCAGTGTACCCTCATTCCACCAAGTCTCCCCACCCGGCTTGGAAGGGCAGGGGGCCCTGCTTCCCTTTGGCTCTTCTTTAGCATAGACTAGTTTCTGTGACAACATCTCTGCCAGCATTCCTTCACTTCCCTTCTCATGCGTTACCCTAGAGAGCGTGTGGGCAGAACCTGTGATACGCTGTCAAGACTATGGGGGAAGGAGTCTTTAGAGAAGAAAACTCCGTTGTGACTAAAGGAAGGAACCTTATGTTTGGGGCAGGGAGGCGGGCTTGCAAGTCATGACCATCCATCCACAGAACTGTTTCATCATGCAGCACTGAAATTCTGTACCTGTTAGACAGTAACTCCTGGTCTCCCTTCCCCTCACCCCCAGCAACTGCCATTCTACATTGTCTTTATGAATGTGACTACCCTAAGTACCTCATATAAGTGGAATCATACAGTATTTGTCCATTTGTGACTGGTTTATTTCACTTAGCGTAATGTCTTCAGGTCTATCCATGTTGCACTGTGTCAGGATTTCCTTCCTTTTCAAGGTTTTGAGTAATATACCATCGTATGGATATGCCACATTTTGTTTATCCATTCATCCACTGATGGACACTTGGTTGTGTTCGTGTTTGGGCTATTGTGAATAATGCTGTTATGAGGCCAGCCACATGTAAAACATGTAAAACTCACTGAATTCTCCCAATAGCTCATGTGGACAGTATTATTTTGAAATTCTGTTTTACACGTGAGGAAATTGAGACACAGACTTTCTCAAAGTAGCTATTAAGTAGAGAGCTGGGCTTATGAGCCCAAGCACTGACATTCCAGAGCCTGAGCTTAACCTGGACCCCACACTGTCATCTCACAGGGATGCCAGAAGAACATCTAACTGGGCTTGGGAGAAGTCCAGGAAGCCTTCATGGAGGTGATCTGTGAGCTGAGACTTAAGAGTTAATAGTTCACTGACAGCTGATGGAGAGAAGAAGGGCTAGCCATTCCCAGCAGAAGGAAAACCTGTGTGTTGTGGCTAATTACACAAAACCCCAATTCCATTTCTAAGTCATGGCCCCTGTGGTCCCAAAGTATCATGAATATGAAAACAGAAGACACAGGAGATTTATTATCTGTGTGGTACCCCCCACTTCCTACCTATCCCCCTCCACCACATCATAGGAATCAAGTATCAAGGCCACGCCAGACTTGGAGAGATGCCAGCAGAAGCATTTCCTAGGCTCAAAAGGATACACAATTCCCAGTCTCTTCCTGACCTATTTCTAACTCCCGCATCCTTATGGGGGTGGAGCTGGAGTTTGAAGGGGCTGTGGGGGAGGTGGGGAAGAGGAGGATGAAACCCCCACAGCGCTTTTGCCCTCTGCCTGTAAGTTCAGCCTATCTTATCCTAATGCATTCTTGGCTCCTTGCTGAGAAATGCTGCTTATCTTGCGACTCCATTTAATCTCAAAAACCCTGCATTTATTCTTTTTCCTAGAACTCAGAAAAAACTCAAGCTCAGGGAACATGGTTGTTTACCAGAGGCATTTTAACTGCTTATCTAGAAAGGAAAGGAACAAAAGTTGGCCATTCTGGTCATCTCAGCTTTGGCAGCACAGAGGTCATGGAGAAGTTTTCGTAGTCAACTGCCTCTACTTATGAGAAAAGCTATAAAGACATACAGTTGTGTATAAGCACAGAAGTGAGACGGGCCCAGGCTCGTGTGGAGATCAAAGACTGCAAGACTTGAGTTCTGAGATCCTGCACATGTGGGCATGTTATATGTGCAATAAGTGTGTGGGGTGTCATGAGTTGAGATCCTAATAAAAAGAACCAGAGGTGTAGAAACATGTCATCTTGAAACAAAAGAACGCCAGTGTTCCAGAGATTATTTGTTGTTCTCCCGTGCCCAGTATGCCCCTTAACTTCTTCATAGTAAGGTTTTTTTTTTATTTTTTTTTTTATTTTTTATTTTTTAGCTGGGCTCCATTTAGCTGGGCAAGGCTGCCTTAAACAAAGACTACATTTCCTAGTCCCCTTTGTAGCTTTGTGTGGCCAAGTGAGTGAGTTCTGACCAAAGGGATTTGAGCAGAAAAGTCGTATCAGCTTCGGAAGCCTTCCTTAAGATGTGGTAAACCTGGACTCTGCTATTTATTCTTCATCCTTTACCCTGTCCTGTGATCTGCAATGTGGCTGCTGGCATCTTGGTCTAGGAGGTCAAGGCCACACATGGTGGAGAAACAAGACAGAGGGAAACTGGGAACCTAACAATGTGAAGCACTCAGAAGCCCTGGGTTTTTATGTGAGAGACAAATAGACTTTCATCTTGTTTAAGTCACTGATATTGTTGTTACCCTTATTATTAGTATGGCAGAAATGCCAGAGAAGTGGTGGTGTGTCTCTTTCAGTGCATAAGGAGGTGTATAGTCCTGTGGCTGGGGACTATAACTTTGATCACTTAGTTAATGGGTTGGCCAACTTCTCCATCATAAAGTGAACATTTTCCCCTTTGTAATTAAGCAATATCTTATGGAGAGATTCTTTGAGACTACATAAATATCCTGTATCCACCAGTTTTAGCATCCATTGATGATTATTGTCTGAATGAATTATTATCATTATCCTGGTTGCCAAATGATGATTGGCAAATTCCATCATCCTTTCTACATTTACGAGTTTGACATTCAAATGTAAGGAGAGGCTTTTCCTTCTCCTTTATTTATATATATAAACATGGACTCATGGATTCTTATTTTATTCAGTTGGTTATAATCTATGACTATCATTACTTACTCTGATGTACAGATTTAGCCAATAGGAGCCCTTTTAAGCCGGGTGGCTTGTTCTTCTGACATGATTCCCTCATGTTTTTGAGTACTTCCTTACTAAGTTACTCTTATTTTGAGTTTTTCTGTTACTCTGAATGGAAGTGGATACTAACCAGTATAATCAGGTGTAAGAGTAAAAGAAATGGATGAGGGCTCTAGGGCTTCCTCCTTCAGCTCTGGATCTAGACACCCAGCACCTGACATGCCAGGGGCAGGAAGGGGTTCACAAAGCAGCCACCCTTCAGCCAGAGTTGAGCTAGGAAGGCATTGGTTGCTGCTTGCTCCAAACAGCCTTGTTTTTGTGAAGGACTCAAGCCAGGAAACCTGGGATAGTCACAAAGAAGAAGCCCTGTGACTAACTTCAAGCCCTGCCTTAAAGCTGAGGATACATCATGGTCTCTGCATAGAGACTGAAGTAGAAGGGAAAAATCCCTACAACCATCAGCCCAGGTGCATGGAGTTCAAATATTCAGGTAGCCAACCTAGAGGAAGGTGCTCCAATTGAACCATCAGAGCAAGGGAGCCAGGTTTGTACAGAGCTGTAGAGTAAGAAGTCAGAGAACCAGGGGAGAGGGAGAGCAAGAGGCAGAAGATTAAAAATTGTGAGCAGCAGGAAGCATCTCCAGGGCACATATAGAAAATCATATTTGTACAGCCTGGGTTAAATGGAGAAGACTGCTCATGGTAGTAACGGCCTATGGTCTCTGGCCAGATAGGCCCCATTTAGCTGTCCCGAAGCCGGAGGAGATTGTGACTCC